CTTTGGAGTAACGCTATAAGTAAAAGTGATGTACGCGTAGTCGAGAAAAAGAAGAAGACATAAAACTACGTCTGTGCACCGCTTATGGTACCTCCCATACAAAATTTTGGTTTTTGACCCAAACATTTTGGAATACCCCTGATTAGTTACTTTTCTCAAACTTTCAGAATGTTATTTTTTAGAAATAAAAAATCCAAATTTTTGGTGAATTTTGTATGAAAAGTGTGACGAAAATTATTTATATCAGTTTTCTTGTGAATTAAAATGAACAGCAAAAGATATGTTGTAATAAATGTTTGACATGAATCACAGTGCGGAAAAGTTCATCTTACGGATGTAAGACAGTTTATTTTTATTCGTTTTATTTCATTTCGTTATAAAATTAATAAAGTTGATTTAATAAAAATGAATTGAAATTAGATTTTTGTTTTTCGTAGGACTATGTCAATGTACTAAAGTATAAATCTAATTTTTTATATTATATTGAAGTAGCATCATGCGATCATATACGATGGTAATACAAATGGTTTTGAAATTGAAATGATTTTGAACGAAAATTGTGTTTACAACTTTCCGTTTTTTAGTTATGATAATACAAGAAATGGAATACTTATTACACAAAAATATGGAATCAATATTTCGCGGACATTATATTGATATATTTTCAGCCAGATGAATCAGCTCAGCCAGCTTACGCCAGGCGCTGAAATGGAGTGAAAACAATAGAAGTGATTGTTATGGTTATAAAAACACTTACATTGCTACAATCACTTCTATTGTTTTCACTCCATTTCAGCGCCTGGCGTAAGCTGGCTGAGCTGATTCATCTGGCTGAAAATATATCAATATTATGTCTGCTTATTAGACAAAAATATGATATCAAGATTTCGTTCACAGCACAATGGCCTTTTGTTAATCAAAAAACGTTTTGTCCTCGCAATGCGTCGATTTGCATTTGTTGCACTTGAATTTTGAGATCCATGACGAACATGTTTTTTTGATGAATTTCACGTTCGATTTTCATGCGTTCTTCTTCATTTTTGCATTGAATTTGCTTGAGATGCAGTTCATTCTCGGCAATCTTCTTCATCAATGTCCAGTATTCAGCCGACAAACTATTTGCGTCCAAAGATTCGTTTGTTCGGGTACCTCTGGTGACATTGTCGTTACCAATGCGTTCGAGCATGACTACCGGATTCATGTGTTCTGCCAAAAACAGTTGACGCGCGTTTGGTTTTTCCACTTCTTCGACAAGTACATCTTCCGTAGTGTCAATTGGTTCCTTCTTCACTTCCTTTTTCGGCTGTGTAAAATATCAAGAGAGTTTAGTTTTGATTGAAAAGTATGACATATCAATAGTGTACGGTAAACTTACGTTTGGAATGGAGTTGATTGAGTTCAACAAATTGATTGTAGTATCATCTACCTTTGATAGTGGAACAAGTTTTCCATGTCGGCTATAACGCCTTAGTTGTTCATCATAATGTGCTTTTGCCGTACTTTGAAGTCTTGACCAGCATTTTTTCACGCGTATGACTGTTAGCGTTTTTGGCATTCCAGCTTTTACCAAATCATCATAGACTTTTTGCCATGCGGCCGCTTTTTTCGGGTTCACACGTTTCGTGGGATTCAATGCTTCTGGGTTTCGCTTTAATAGTCGGAGCAACGTTAATTTAGCCGGAATACTCCACAAAACATTTCCATCGCTATTTTTTGTCCACATATTTTGAAACTTTTTGTTGAAATTATTTAATGATGAAATACAATAGAACGCTTCAAATATGTCCTGTCATGTAATGATCATTAAAAAAATGTAATCTGAGCTTGAGCATAAATAAGTGGATATATCATATATGAATAGCGGTTATTTCATGTGTATGGGTGTGAGTGTAGTATTTTTTTTTGTTTTTGTTTTGTCCACATTTGTATTCATGCCGTAACAAATGCAAACACATTTACTGTGGTGTAAAAACGTTTTTTCCAAACATGTTCAAAGGTGGCGCTGCGCCGATGTTTACATATTTAGAAATGTCAAGCAACTTAATGTTGACAGATACATATATTTGACAACAATAACATTCCTCAAAACAACTTTTTCATTCCAAAAAAAAACAAGTTTATTTTCATGTAACTCATTCTCTGCATTTATGTACATTGTGTTTTTACAGCTATCGTAGAATATTATTATGGCCGATGATGACTACTGGAACAAATCGAATATACAAAGTTTTAGCTTCGATGAAGATGAAAAGGTATTACCATTGAAATTTATTTAAGTTTAATTCTAATATTCACTTTGATCTAATAGGGTTTTGTGATCAAACACGATCAGAAATTGTTTGTCGACGATAATGTGTCAGAGATTAGTTACGAGCTTCCAGCAAGTAGTGAAGTGCCGTTGCATCTCATTATTTCAGAAAGTAATCTACGGAAAGGTATTTAATTTCATGATTTCTTCAAATAGAGCAGAGTAAATTATTTTCGGAGGTCACAATGTCATTTCTGTCCCCAATTTGTATATAGTGCTTGAGGAGCAATCGCTGAAAGAAACTCCATTACCGAAAACCATTTCAGCCGAAGAAGAGCTGAAAATTCTACGACGTCGTGCACAAGAGAATTTCTCACCGCCACCGGTGTCGTCTGTTATTCGAAAAATGCTACTTAAAAAACCATTTTCGCTGGAATGTTTTCGGGCACTACACGAAAAGAAGAGCCTATTGAACGAAGCGATTCGGTCCGGAAATGGTGATGCAATATTGACTGTGGTTTTATTTTTACAACGAACATTGGAAAAGAAACACTTTCATACCATTATGCAATCACATCCAGAAGCTGTTACGCATTTTATCAACTATTTGGTCATTCGATGTCAAGTGACCGAAGCAAGTGATTTTCTAACGTAAGAATTTCTCTTTAATTTTTTTTTTTGATAAAATCAGTCTTTAGCATGTTTTCTCTTTAATCAGAATGCTTGGAAAATCGAATGAAAATATAGTAAGTTCCGTCTTATAATTATAATCAAGTTTGCTATCATTTCGATACTGACATTGTCAATAACAACGAACGTTCTTTCTTCATAACCAGATTCTCCAGTACGAATCAATAATGAAACTGTGCAAGAGTCCAGATGTTAAAAAGCAAAAACTCAATAAACTCTACAATGAATGCATTGCCCATCAAACAGGAACAATATGCCCTTACTATGGAACAATTGTGACAAATTACATAGCACTACTTGAATGGCAACTAAAGCAGAAAATAAATAATCCAAAATTGATCAATATTTTGGATGTATCGCCTCTAGAAAGTTTATATATTGCTTGTACAAATCACAAATGGACCGACGCTTCGTCTGATTTATCAGTAGCGAATCAATCGAATCCGTACCATTTTGCAGACACGTTCAAAATTGCACAATCTCAGTTTGATTGGGTCACACTCACAGAACGCGCACAGAGTCAGGCTTGGCGTGATTTGGACAAAATTTTCGAGAAAAAGTCCTGGCACTCCCTCAAAACCACAAAATCGTTTGCAATTAGCGTTCCACTTGAAAGAGTCATTTTCCAATTGAATACATTTGATGCTCCTGCTGATGTTTTGAATACATTTCTTGCGCACATTGATGATCCACATCGTCGTCTTGCACTCGCCAAACGTTTCAATGCAGGCAAAAGTATAGTCGATTCACTCGTTGATCTGAAAGATCGCGAAGGACTGGAGAAATTCATTGCTACACTGCATATCCGTGATAATGTTCAAATACACGCCGAAAATGCACTGAAAAATTTTGTAAGTTGTCTTTTTTTTCGAATGAATTCCATGTATATTTACTTTTCTCTGTTTTCTACTTTTTTCAGCAAAAGTCCAAGTGGAAAGCTGACGGTCTTAAATTGTTGAAAAATTAATTATTAATGTTAAAATTATATACATGCAATTTTATAACGCTGAACTATTTTTTTCAGCTAGAGTTTATTTTAAATGTTACTATTTTATGAGCTACATGATACTTTGTTTTATTCAACATGACTATGTTTTTTAAGAATGACGGTGCCTTTTTAAAAGAATGATTAAAATAAAGCGGCTATATTAAATGCGTTAGCGATAAATCGAAAATATATTTTTTATTGTCCTCATTCGCTTTCAGATAATGATACCGTAAACAAAGATATTCGAACAAGTGCTACAATTTTTTTCTAAAAAACGTCGAACATTGAGCTAATCAAACAGTAGAATAATCCAGTCAATAATATACATTGCCATTGAGAATGCCCTACAAATTTTTTGGATTCTACTCGCTTCAAAGTTTGAGTTTGCATCTGAATCAGTACAATATGTGATGTGAGCAATAGGAAAAATATATGTGTCATTTTGAACAACAAACACATTGTTCGCCATTTGAACAACAAACACAATATTAAATTCGTTTTCATTGATATAAACCTTTATTTATAGGCTATCGAATAGCACATTCATTTTACACTGATCGGGCCGTTGTCCTCGATTTTTCTCAGTCCTTTTTTCATGGAAATGCTATTTTTTAAGATGCGAGCCATTTTTATGATTTTTTTCTGCTTGCAAAGCACAATTTTGTCCTTAATCAGATAGTTCTCAACGAATCCTATCGATTTCAACAATAATTGGTTGATAATTGAGCAAGTAATGGAGGTTTAACCTTACGTTTCAGCACTAAATTTTACGAATAATGGCTCTAAGACACCTTCCAAAGAAGATCCTACCATACAAACACCCTTTTATCAAAGTACAGAAGATCATTTAAATCAATGCAAAAGAAACTCCTAGCACTTGATTCGTGGTTCGATTTGGCGATGAATGTTTCACTGTCCAAAATGATGAATTTTTCAATGCAACATGCTACAGGGTGAAGTAAACACCAGATTTTTGACACCCTGATTCCTAATGATCGTGTCAAAATCTATTGTTTTGGTTCTAATTTGGATGTACTGTAAACATAAGAATCACCAAAAATGAATGTTTCCTTGACCAACCCTGTTTTTGGCACTTGGTGACCGTTTTGAAAGATTGGGAATTCGACCGGACTGTTTGCTTTTTCTAGAATCTCTACATTCATATTAAATCCATGAAAGACGATACATCAATCGAAGACAGATTGGTTCATCTTTAGACACATGCAGAATTGGTTTTGAAGTTAGCTGTCTTTAATTACTGCCTTAAAATTACTTTATTACACAATAAATAAAAATCGTCTTAAAATAAGTAAAACTCAATAAGTTTCAATTTGAACTAATAATAAATATTTCGAACTGAAAATAATCGAACCAAAGTTCGCTGAAAATAAAAATCTTTCAATCAACAATTGATTATTCAAATTGAAATAGTACCAAGAAAATAAAGATCAAATACTACACATTACCGGTAAAATGGTTTTTTTTTTTTTTTGCTACTTTCCAAATTTTCAGTAAGTAAATGGCTGCAGTTCCAAATCGCACTCTGGATTCATCTTTATTTGAATCTTTTTAAATGAAACCATATTGGTCGCAGATGTGCGCATGTAATTCGACCGGATTTCCGCATAAATTTTAGCATTTCAACGTCGACGGTTCAAACACAAAAATATACTATTTTAGATTCACATGAAAGTTGCGAAAACTGTTCTCATACAGATGTATATACATTTCTGCAACAATATCATGACAACATCATAGATAATATTCTTAAATGTATAATAATACGTAGCAGTATTGATGCGCTTGTAACTATCTAATGCTGTCTTTTCGCTCGTTTTCTCTTTCTATCATCTGGTGCAGATGATGTTTTATTATCTTTAATGTTTTAGTTAAAGATCTTTTCGGTGAGAATTCCCCGGAATTTTGAATCGAATCCCAAATATTTTAATGATCAAGTCATATATACTTTTTGAAGTTTAAGATGGGCTTAGTACAAGCCTAATGCCAAGAATACATATTTAATGCCACTTAATGCGCACTGCATAAATATTAATATTAACCATATCGTCATCTTTGTATCTCTTTTGCACGCGCAGTGCACATGGAGTCATAGCTACGGTCAACTGTGCACACATATTCGAAGAAGACGTGTATGTATTTTTGGAGTAATGAATAATTTTTATTGTTATCGAACATATGAATGCCTGAGAAAAATCATGACTCAAATATTATTTTGTTTCACTCTTGCGTGTTCAAATTTTATGATTCAAATTTTCCTACATTCGGGATATTTTTTTTATGTTTCAATGGAATTTTTTTCTCATGAATCGATCGTGTGAGTTGTTTTATAAAGTTTCACTCTTTGTAATGCACATTTTTCTGAATCATATTTTTTTTGAAAATTAGAAATGATTTGAGTCATGATTTTTCTCAACCATTCATATTATGTCAATATCAATGGATAACTTTCTATTGTAATTCAAAACGTCATTTTTAGTAAACGTATGAATCGTAGATTTGAAGAAAGTGAAATTGATCCGTAGCAAACACTGGATTTTATCCATCGAAAAAAAGCCAGTATCGGATAAAATGCGCGTGAAAATGTGTCAGTAGACGAGAAATAATCGATGTCAAGGCACATAAATGTATGAATTCACATAGCGCTTGTTCGTCTAACTAGTGGTCGTCACTTGATTTTCTTTTCGCATCACTTTTCTTACATTCTTTTATTTTGTAATACAATGGTTCGACAAATGTGATGTCTATTTATAAATCTATCGTCATAGCTATCTATCTCAGTGATGTTCACTTTAAATTTCATACGTATGTTTCTCTTCCTTGCTTTTCTCGTCTTAATTTAAAATAAATAAAAATAGGTATTCGAGAGAAGAGTGTGTTGAAAATCTGACATGTAATTTTAGTTTGTGCATGGGTTTCAATCGGTGAAAATGGAAAAATGTCAGGATTTTGCGTTAGATTCTTTTCTAGAAGAACTAGAAGTGTTCCGATGGAGACTTTACATTGCAAAAGATGAAAGTCCCACCGAGAGAGCGAATTTATTTGAAGAGGCTTGTTCAAAACAAATCTCCGAACTATTCATCGAAGAATGTTTGATTGCTGGCTGTTCTATGAGTACGGTATACAAAATAGCGTTAATTTAAAATTAAAATTTTCATTTATTGTCGAAAAGTTATTGAATTTATTCGAATAATTTTGTATTTTAGCTCAGCCATGAGGCAAAAGTGATGGTGAAAAAATTAATGGATAAAGGAGACATGTTGCCGTCAATTCAACGCGACGATGATAAATTTTGGGACTTTAGCCGTCTTCGAATGTGTCTACTGTATGGAAATGAAACGCTATTTATAAATGCTTTGAAATTGATCGCACGAAAGAGCCCGGCAAAACTGAAGGAAATTATTGCGATTAGTGGCGATTTACTCAACATAGCCGCTGCAAATCATTTAACATTGACAATTGAAACATTGGTATCGTTGGGCGGAAAAGTTGAATATGCAGCATTTTTATCGGCTTGTAAAACGGGATCGTGGCAATCGTTGGAGACATTGATGCCACATTTGGATTTAGAAGAAAATAAAATGCCTTTACTACGGGAGCTATATATTGCGGCACGCAGTGCAGATGAGAAAAATCGTGAAAATTTCGAAAAATGTTATGATTTACTGCTTAATAACAGCCATTTTAATGTAAATTCAATGGATTCGCATGGTCGTTCAGCCATGTATTATGTTGCTAATTTACCGAAGAAAATCGATCAGTTTCTTGAAATGGGCACGTATATTGGAATGCAAAATGGATCAACAACGCCAAACGTATCGTTTATTGCGCCTGCCGCACTTGAAGCTCATTTTAACAATTGCGTGAATTTCGTTCAAAGTGAAGATAATAAGAAAGTCACATACATTGAATTCGACTACAAAAATTTGATTGCACCGCGAAACCGAAATGACAATATTGTCATGCCAAATGAAATGACGGCCATTGAATTTATATCCGAAAATATCGATTACAAATATTTACTCGTACATCCTCTCATCTGGAGTTTCATTTCACTAAAATGGCGTCAATTGGCATTGATTCGTAATATTGATTGTGCCCTTTATGTTCTATTCGCATTGTCAAATTTGTGCTACGTTTTGGCCCTATACGGAAAGGCTCCACAAGATATAACAAACATATTCTTTATCCTAACCGGAAATTTGACATTTTACGTAGCAATACGAAGAATAGTCCATTTACTATTTTGCAACAATGAGTATCGCAAACGTTTGATCAACTATTTTCATTGCTATCAAACATTTCAGGTGATTGTTTCTGTGAGTTTGGTTCACTATCTGCAAGATATCAATCCTGTAATTCCTGCGATGTGCGTTTTACTAATTACATGCGAGCTTTTCGTATTGGCCGGTTCAATATTTTGGACATTTTCTCTGTACTACGTCATGTTTTTGAGCATTGCATGGAGCTCAATGAAGAGTTTAATGGTGTATATTGTACTTTTGCCCTCGTTTATAATATCATATTGGTTGATGATAAAAAATAAACCAGCAGACACTGATGACACATACAAATATCAATTCTTCGATTATATGCGACAATCATTGATGGACTCCAATTCGACAGAAATCGGTGTCAACGAAGAGAAATTGGACCATTTTAAGAAAAGTTTCTTTGGTTTAATGCGCAAGTATATTGAAGACGACGATGAAAGTAGCAAACATCCAGATACGTCTAGTGTTGTGTTATCTCTAATGCAAGCCATTATTGGATGGCATCGAGATGTGGACTCCAAAATTGCAAGCGTCGATTGGTCATTTTTGGGATTGCTTATCGTTTTGATCTCGTTGGTTTCAATCATTAATATGAATTTGGTGAACAGTCTTGCTGTTACTGGTACACAAGCCATTCAATCCAAATCGGAACTCACCTGTTTAACGCAACGAGTCCATCTATTGGTCCAATACGAAGAGGCACTGACTAATCGAAAGCATTGGTTTTGGTAAGTTAAACATCACATTTGTAACTCACTCTCACTCTCTATCTCTCTCTCTCTCTCTCTCTCTCTCTCTCTCTCTCTCTCTCTCTCTCTCTCTCTCTCTCTCTCTCTCTCTCTCTAAATATTAATAATTGGCCTTTTCCTTGCAATTCACAGGCAAACGTTTAAGAACACTCCTCTTATGCGATTGTTCTACTTTTTTGCCCAATTTGATGTATTGGAGAAAGTGCGATACGATAATCATCGGAAAGTGTACACTGGTCCAGGGAATGAAATAATATATCGCATAACGTCACAAACAAAAAGTACCAAACACGGTGACGTCGGCATTGTATCGAAGGCATTGTTTACTTCACAGAAGAAGGGATCTCAAGTCGGTCTTTACTCAGACGAAAATGAAGACGCAGCAGAATCAAAAAGTTGTTGTTCAAATCTTTGGGGAAAAATTATTGGCATTTTCTTCAATAAAACTGATCGAATGAATCCGCAAATTGTTGAAAATGCTCGTAATGTCATCGACAGAAGAAAAGACGACCTAAAGGAAAAGCTTGATATAGACACTTGCATTCATCGCATTGATAAACTAGACTCGGCTATTGTTAGCATAGGAAAGAAGCTGGATGTAATGATGAAGTCTAAAAATCCTGTCGGCGTCAGTGGCAAATAGTTTAAGTAAGCGTTGAAATTGTCATGTCATAGAAAAACTAAAAAGCTTAAATCCAGTCTTAATAAAAAAAATATTACTACAAGACGCGTACTGCACTCCTTTATCAGAATTTCTCGCTGGTGCTGGTTCTTATAAGCACTGTTTCACTCATATGAAAATGTTCATGCCATTCATTGAGTTTTGGGTTTTACGAAATCAAATTTTTATTCAAATTGTCACATACATTGTTAATAAAGTATAAATAAATATGAAGGCTGACAAACAAGAAGAGTTTGGAATTTTGAATAAGAAATCCATTCTTGTTTATCAGTGTCTTGGAATTTGAAATCTTTTGAATAGTTTTTTTTTATCGTTTCGCTTCATCAATATGCTGTTCACTGGTCGAAATATTTAGATCCGTTATCATTTTAAAGTAATTGATGCAACCATTTCTCCAAAGAATCAAATGTAGGACGTGATTCAGGATTAATGCGCCAACAATGATGCATTATTTCATATCTGAAAATATTTTCATTAAACAATTTCGATTAAAAAATTTATTATAAAAATTATTTTTCAATTTGATGCATACACATTATCGTTGGCATAATGGGGTTTTTCCATAGTATATCCATTCTGGATTTCTCGTTTGAGCTGATAAATATCGATGTCTTGATAGGGTGTTTCACCGAATGAATAAAGTTCCCACAGTAAAATTCCAAATGACCAAACGTCTGATTTTGTTGTTAATATTCTATTTTGCATCGACTCAATGGAGAGCCATTTGTAGTCAAGTTTACCCTGTAAATTTTTCGACCAAAATAAACCAAATATATCAATTAAAAAAATTATTGCATCTCTGTTTTTCATCAAATTGAATTTCAATTCGATTTTACCTCTTTTTCAGAAATGTATGCATCAACTTTATTCATTGACCTGGCCAATCCAAAATCGCTAATTTTCACAATATTTCCATCGGTGAGAAAAATGGAACGTGCGCATAAATTTCCATGCACAATATTTTGTGCAGCTATAAATTGCATTCCATGCGCTACTTGATGTGACCAAGAAGCCAAATCGTTTTGTGTTACCGAACGGGGTGAAGCAAATCCGGCGGTTCTACTCTTTGACATTTGCACTGTATTACTGTCGATTATTTGATTTTTTACATTTTTATGATGCTTCTCCAGAACATCTTTTAAATTACCGTATCGACAATATTCAACAATCACCATCAGTTCATCTGTCACAAAATTAAAAAAAAAAATATTTTCATATGAAATTTAGTCGATTCTATTCTGTATTTTTTTGTTTTGTTTTTTTTTTTTATTTTTTTTTTTTTTTATTACGGCTGGCAATATTTTCGCTGACAATTCCAAACAAGTTGACCAAATTCAAATGTCCTCGGCAATACATCATAACCTTCAATTCAGAGCCCAAAGATAGCAGCATCTAGAAAAATAATGAAAAACAATTCATCGTAAGACATCTCCCATTTACTTCGGTGTGGCAAATCCAACCTTCTGTGATTCAATAAGACTTGCTGCATCCGAATTACTTCCTTTAACTACTTTAATAGCGACCATCGTTACAGTCTCGTGTGGTAGAATTTTGTGTGCATAACCCTTGTAAACCATTCCAAATACACTTTTACCAATCTGTGTGCTTAGCTTCACTTGATTTTGTGGAAATATATACTTTTCTAACAAATCGGTCAATTTTAAGCCAGTATCACTGTCAGTGGCTTCTTTTTCAAATAATTTATGGAAAAATAGGGCGATGAAACACATCAATGGAAAAAGCAACATGAAAATCACCAATATAAAAATGTGGAAAAGTCGCGCTTGACTTTGCCCTAGATTCGAGAAATTTTTTAAAAAATTAGCATACACTCATTTTAGAAATACGAAAATTTGTTACTATCTGATTCGTCTTTGGTCAAAAGGTCAACAATCTCATTTTGTTCTGTGGAAAATGAATATAATTTTAATAAATTATTATTATTTTTTCTTCTTCAAATAATTACTGTGTTGCTGTGCAAAATCGATTAGGGTTTTTTCGCTATCATCTGGAATAGTTAAGTCAGCTCCATTTTTAAGGAGTTCTTTAACAGCGTCAGAATTGCCTGTAGTATAAAATTGTATAAGATTTTAACAAAGGTGGCAAAGTAAAGTTGTATAATACCATTTTTAACTGCCAACATGACAGCTGTTTCATTATTCTCGGTTTTTGCATCGATGGTTTTTGCTTTGATGATAGCCTCATGACTCAATAACATTTTTACAATATTTGAGTGACCTAATTTTAAGTATAATTCTTTGAATGTACAACATTTTCAGTAAAATTGTCAAGTACCATTTTTGGCTGCATAATGCAATAGCGTCCATTTATTTTTGTCTTCAACTGTAGCTTGTCCATCTCTATTGATCAACATTTCAACAATTTCATCGAAACCTGCACCAAAAAAAAAAGTAATAATATACATCAAATTCAACGAAGTTTGAAAATCGGTTTACCTTTTTCGGCGGCCAACAGAATTAAATCTCTTTTGCCAGCGTATTTGATATTTGGATTTTTAGAATGCCTGAGAAGGATTTTTGCAGTATTTTGGTGTCCTTAAGGTAAATTATTGTTTACATTTTCGTTGAAATTCATATGAATATTGAATTTAGTTGAAAAAAAAAATCTACAAACCATTCAAAATAGCGAGAGAAAGTGCTGTATCATTGGACTTATCTTTTAGATTTATATCAGCATTTTTTTCTAACAACGTTCTAATAACCGGATCGTATCCAATTTCGGCAGCCAAGTGAAGGGGAGATCTTTTGTCGTTATCGATAACGTTAACTGCATGATGATCGTTCTCTCCATTATTGGCGTCAGATAGCAAATTTAATAACCATTTGATAAATTCCACATTGCCTTTTATAAATAAATTTGTTTTTAATTTTCTGACGTTCAATTAAATCGAAGAGAAAATTAAGTGGTGCGAACAAAAAATCCCTTGAAATGAAGACGTGATTAAAGCCAAAAGAAAGGGCTTTTCGGAAACTTTCGTAAGGGATTTTTTGTCCGCGCCGATCCAAATAACTTACGGAAAATAACAGCTCTGTGAAGAGGCGTTTGACCATGTTTATCTGTGGCACTAACATTGGCACCATGAGAAGATAGAATCTTTCCAACACTTACAAAACCTACAGAAATAAATGTGTCAAAAGCTTGTTCAAAAGCGTAAACTTAATACGAAATTATCGGTATTTACCTCTTTCTGCGCATATATGAAAAACTTTAAATTTTGAAATCATTTATAAATGTTTATTTGATCTTTTTTTTTATTGTTTAAAAATTTAAATTACCGGTTTTTCCTAGTGCGTCCACATCATTAAGACTAAGATCTTCATCTTTATGATTAACCAAAAGTTTAACAGCTTTTTCATTGCCATTTAAAACCGAATGAAATAGCGGCGTCCAATCATTTCGATTTCTTACGTCCACCATTGCATCATATTTGATTAAAAGTTTTATAATATTTTCATGTCCTCCAAGAGCAGCATAATGTATCGGAAACTCGAAATCATAGTTTATAGCATTGGCATCGGAACCATTACTAAGGAGAATCTTCGTGAGATCGTAATAGCCTAAACATGATAATATTCGATTTTGAATACCTTTTTTTCATCTTCACTTCATTTTGTGTTTTGTAGATTTTTATGTGTTTTAATTCAAAATACAACTTGTTTTATCTTTCTTACCACCTTCCGCAGCCAAATGAAGCGGAATATTGCCTGAGTTGTCCGGAATATTGATGATTTCACTGATTGGATGATTTTTGATTAACCATTCCATAACATGTATGCGTCCTTTATATTGAAATTGGAAATCAGTTTATTCTTTTTTATAACGAAAACATGAATTGATGTGAATTCATACCATGTTGAGCAGCTGTATGGAGAAGGGACCGACCATCTCTATCTGTAGCGTTTATATTGGCACCTTTCTCGACCAACCACTTGAAAGTTTCCATGTCACCTCCTAAAATTTAGTATAACATCAGCTTATATGTACAGAACACTTAAAATATTGAAAATATACCTTTTTCGATAGACAAATGCAAAGTCGACTTGCCATCTTTACTGATATTATTTATGTCATTATCTTTTATCAACAATTCGAGAATTTTTACATGTCCTAGAGCTGCGATTGTAAGAGAACCAATTTGATTTGATTAACAACACTTATTTGCGGCACTCGAAAGAGCTAAAAACTACCTTCTTCAACAGCAATATGAATTGGAAACATATTGTTTTCATCCGCTACATTGACATTGGCGCCATGATTGATGAGCAATTCCGCGAACTCAAACTGACCTAAATAAGTGATCATCATCGATAGATCCACAAAGAAATTGAAATTATGAAATTAAAATCATAGCAAAAAATATGCCATTTCAAATGCAAAAAAAAGGTGTATGTCTGTCGACCGTTTTTGCCATCATTTGAACAATAATTAAATGCATTTAACTTCCAAATTTACCATATTTGACTGCATAATGCAGTGGAGTTTGATTCTCATTAGTTCTTGCATCTTTATTGGCTTTATTTTTGATGAAGCATTCGCCGAGCTTTTTATGACCTACGACATATATATCATTAAAATAGATTATCTTGTTTCGATTGGATACTACTTCGATAAGTTAGCTTACCTTTTTGAGCGGCTACATGTAACGGTGTTTCACCTTTATTATTACTGACATTAATGCGTGCACCTCTTCTGATGAGAAACTCAGCTAGTTCAGCATCATCGCCTATGGAATAAATTAAGACGTTTTATTATAAAAACGGAGATGATTAGACTTACTTATTCGACTATATTTACCGCCAAAACGTGTAACGAAAAACAAAATGGTTTCACCAACTTTATTTACAACATTGACTTCAGCTTTGTTCTCAATCAACTTTTGAAAGACTTTTTGACGATCTAAGAAAAATATCAGAAAATAAAGAAGATTTTAAAGTAAATTTAAATTTAGACTACTCATGATATTATTTGCTTGATTTATTTGCGTAATGTCAGAATGAGTAAATCTGCAAGAATTCTATTTGATTACCTTTGCCTGTCCCATATGCAGCATATATAATTGGAGTATCCCCGGCCCAATCTGGGAAATTCACATTCTTCCCAGCTCCTTTCTCAAGCAACAATTTAACCATATCCAGATTACCTGTAGCACATGCAAAATCAAGTGGAGTTGTATTATCACTTGCAACCGAATTAACGCTGATATTTTTTTGCAACAAAATGTCAAGCATTTCGGTATTTTTTGCCTTTCGATTCATAGCCACGTAGTGAAGCACACTCATTCCCATTGTGTCAGTGACATCTATATAAGGAATACTTCTACTATCATGCTCTTGAATCAAGAATTTGAAGATTTCAAAGTGACCTATTTAAAAAAAAAAAGAATTTGAATAATTTCAACATACAAATTGAAAAATAATAATAATAGATCTTTCTCTTTACCATTTTGTGCGGCAAAATGAATCGGCAATTTTCCATAGTTATCCGTCACATTAATGTCTGCTTGTTTCGAAACGAGCAATCTGATGATATTCTCAAGACCTAAATAACAAAATAAAAAACATTAAAAATTTCGTTTTAAAATGAAATATGATGTAGGAATATGACCTCGCTTAGCAGCCAAATGTACCGGTCTTATACCAAAGTAGTTTTTGGCATTCTTATCCGCACCCTTATTTATCAGATTTTTTACATTCACAAAATTATCTACAAGTACATAAATATATGAAGATTATTATTTGTATTTCTAATTATGACATAAATTTACCATCGAGCACCGCTTCATGTAACGGGGAATTCCCTTCAGATCTTTGCATAAAATAAACCAATAAAAGATTAAGCTTTGTTTAGAAATCGAGATCACAAATTGTGACAACATTACTCACTGATCATTTTCATCTGAAATAGCGGAAGAGAGAACGAAAGAATATAATTAGAACCAATTCTTTTCAACTAGAATATGTGTGTATAAAATCGTTTCCACATACCCATAAATACACTATTAAATGAGGTTATGTAAAAAAATACACACAAAACGATGAACAGTTTCATTTTTTTAGTTCTTTCAGCAGTATGCATGTGATCAATTATCGTGTTAAATATGAACAGAAAACACTTTATTGATTCGGTTTCGTGTGTATGAGTTGTATAGAATAATTCACATAATTTCCTTATAATTTCTAAGCAGTCGAATAAATTGCACAGAGGCGCTCACTACTTTCTATACTGCTCTTTGGTTCGGGGCTTTTTTTTTGTTGAAAAATTCTACGATGGCACAAATATATCAGCCACTGTATTGATTGATTTTAAACCTGACTAATTAGTCACCAATTAATTTGAATCAACAATTTATGGTGAAACGAAATTAACATTTTTTCCGCGGAAAATAATCTCACCAATTGAACGAATAATTAAAAAAAATAATAATATTAGAGCGGTTCACAAATCACTGGACATTTTCTTATATTTTATGGTTTATTGATGAAATTATTCACTTAAAGCATAAAACAATTCCAATTTAAAAATGAAAGTGTTTAAATTATTATCCTCAGGCGAATTTTCAAAGTCAATTTGTTCAGAGTTAGGCTACGAATATTTCGCTCACAACTTCTTAAAAGCGAATCTACATTGAAAATAAACTATTTTGGGATCTGTCTACATTTAATCAGCCGCTAGGCATGTAGTTATTAGGCAAGTAGCTAGTCTACACACGTGCATCTATTTTTAAAAATGTCCACTCAAAATGCGAAAAAGATTTACAATGACGAAAGCGAAATCTTAGACATTCAACACTAACGAAAATATCAAATCTTATTTTCGATTGTCCGTGATACCAAATTTATGACGAAAATCACACTGCATTTGCAAGAAAAAAGCGAATAAAACACAGGCGACCCGGCTGTTACTGTGTTACATATTTTTATCGATGCTAAAATAAAATGGGAAAATCCGAATAGTAATCAATTTATTGACAACTTGCTGTCTAATTTACAATGTATGTTGGATGTTGGTGGTTAGTACTTGTGTTAAATTTTATTTATTTGATTCCTTCTGCTCCTCCCCCTTCTTGTTATTTTAAATCGTAGATAAATAATAGTAAATAACAGAGAAAGATAAATAAATAATAATAAATAGATATATTGTATAATAATTGACAAGTTAAAATAAAAATGTAATTTAAAAGAGCTTATTCTTTGTTTAATACAAAATCGTCGTCGTTTAGTTGTAAAATTAGATTTACAACTGGTTGTTCAGATCACCGAGGAACGGAGCATTTAGTTTTCCATTTTTTTATGTTTTTAATGAAGAAATTTTCGTTGTTCGTTCTCCAATAGAGCATCTGCGCCATGTAAACCAAAAATATACGCAGCCAGTTTCATAGGGCCGTAAACGCCGGTCTTGCGCAGTACATTATGATCTGTTTTTGTATCGATTCTCATTATTTGGTCATTCCTTTCATGTTTCATATGATCGGTTTGGGTTTCATTCGACTCTTGTCAATTTTCTCGAAGAACATGTTTCATTTATGTGGCGTATCATTTTCACGAGTTCATTTTGTCATTGCCACCAAAAGCGTTTCGTCTCTTTGATCCCATCAAAAGAAATGTGTAACATTTTGAAAGCACGAACACCACACTTTCGAGCTTGAAAGTTAAGAATTACCTACATACTGGCCTTTGTTATATGGAAGAGAAGATCCAAAATGAAACAAAACATCGAACGATCATTTTAGCATGCGCTCAGTGCAGCACTGATGCATACAAGTGCATTAAACTCTACCGAATACATTGGTTCATTATGTATCATGTTATCCTGAAAGTATGCAAATCTATTTAAATTTTTGAACTAAGCATACTTTTTATATTCAAACAACAATTCAACGACGACATTTCAGTTCTTTTCTGTTCTTGTCCAACGTACAAACTAAAACAAATCTGACGAGTTCAAACCATTTTCGATTTCATTTGAACAGATAGGACTTGGATTACGGTCATTCGTTGAAATTTTCACTTCATTCAAACAAATATATTTGTTAGAGAAATATCAACCGCCTAATACGGCAGTGTTCAAGTTAAAATAAATCTGAACAAAAATGAATTTGACGTTTTGCGTTCTATCAACACTTTTCACCATTTTCGCTATTACAAAATAGTTCCAGAGGCCCTTAATCAGAGCTTAGTGACCAAAAACTATGATTAACATATATACGATCGATAGACACTGGTTAGATGCACCATAAACAAAAGACGTAAATTAATGTATCTCTGTCGTAAGTCAATTTTCCGAACGATTTTTGAGTTCAAACGATAAAATAAAATTGTAATGAGAAAAAAAAGAAAAAAAATCCATAGAATATTGCACAACGACAACATTAAACAATCAAATTCCGTTATCGATTCTGTACATTTATTTCATGTTAACAATCCATGATTTGACTTTTTGTGTGAAAATATACAAAAATTCCAAATTATGGCATTGGACAAAAAATTCTCCAGAGAAGACCAAAATTCTGCAGCCCTACTGATAATGTTCAAATACACATCGAAAATTTACTAAACTACTGAGTAAGACGTATTTCATTTCAAGTGAACGAAATTCCATGAAGTTTCTACTATTCTAGCAAACAGCCAAGTGGAAAGCTGACGGTCGAAAATTTTTGAAAAATTAGTCATATATTTTAAAGTTGGAGTGTTGAGGAATTATGGTTTTCTTTAAAAATGTTACTGTAGAGCTACTTGATTTTTTGTATTAAATTTTTTAAAAGAATGACTACAATAAAAGTAGTAGCGATAAGTTGAAAATTATTTTTTTATTATCATCATTCGCTTTTAGATGACGATTTTCATTTGGATTGTAAGCTTGTTATTTGAACAAGGGGAAAATAATACATGTAGAAACCCTTTTGGTTTAAAAATTCATGATTCCACTGTGATGGTGGTTCGAAGTCACGCATGGACAAAAAATCGATGAACTTTCGAAACGAACACGAATTCCAAATACCAGGCAAGAAGTTCATTTAATGGTTGTTATACACTTTGTAAAATAATACAAAAATGTGTTGGAATTCTGGCTGTATGATGTATGACAGTCTTTAGTGTACAGTGTACAATGGACTTTTTTTCGATTTTCCCCTTCAAGTTGTTGATTCGCATTTTACGCATAAAAACGTTTTTGTTCAAATAAAGTAAATAATTAATACGGGTTTCCACATTCCTTATCTAATCATGAAACAAGCCGTGATAAAATCGCTCGTGCAAACAAAATCGAGTCGAGATATAGCAAAAAAAAGCATATGACTCTCAGTAAAGATATTTTCGATCGATTTATAATCTACCTTAAATGACAATGCCTAGAATGTGTTCCACTACGATTCAATTTAATACAGCTCAATTCCTTCGCCAGATAGTAAAAGTAAAATTGCGTATAGCAACTGAACATCACATATATTCTTAAATCATATGAATAGTTTAAATAACATGACTACTGCTTGAAATTGAATTTTTGCTTTCCCTTCTCAAATGCTCGCATATGTTCTCTGATGCAATGATTCGACGGTAGTATGAAAATGAAACTAATGTAAACACGCATTCAAGTAGAGCAGTCGTATGAAACCAATAATAACTAGCCGATGATGAAAAATTAATAAAATATTGTCGTTGAGATACGAAAAATGGGTCGCCTTTGTGAGATATTTAGAGATGTTGTTGTTGTGTGGAAGTTTAATTCGAAATAACATTGTGATTTCGTGTGATTCAAGCAAAATTGTCGTATAATAAAGTGCATCGACGAAGTGATGTGATTAAAAATTCCATTAAAGCGGCTATTTCTATAAAAGTCAAGCTGAATCATTTCCATCAGCCGAACCTTAACGGGAAAATAAGTAAAGAAACGAGAAAACTACAATGTATGTATAGTTAAAGTTTGGAGTTAGTCAACTCATGACGGTTTCAATCGCAGCTGAATCGAAACATAGAAAAAAACACAAATATCGAAACACATTAACGAAATGCAACGTAAATGTGTGAAAAAAAAACACGTAAGACAAGAAAACAAAATAAAAACTGTAGATATAGAATGCTCGCCTCCGCCCTGACTTTTTGATTCACACATGATGAGATGTATTACATCAATTTCCAATATTTCAATAATTTATCAAGCGATTCAATTCGATTCGTTTTAACCGAACGCTTCTTCATTAAATCGAATGAGGTATCTGTTAAAAATCACTTGCGTGTTCAAATACATTCGTACGGCCATACAAATCGCTTAGTATGTGTCGCTTTCTGCTCTCTCTCTCTCGCTCTTTCTTTGTATTGAACAGCGAAATATCACACACGCAGGTCGATTGCTTTGCGTCAACAGCACACGAAAACAGTCGCAGTGAAATTTCCGCTAAGAAAAGAGGTGTTCACATCACATCTTTGCGTCGCACAGTGAGTGTGAGCTATTTTGACTTTGGCATCGCGACTAAATCGGAACACAAAAGAAGACGACTTTCAAAGTGATATATAGTTTGTTTGTTTTTTTTTTTTTTGGTAGAAAATCAGCGAAAAAAATTTCATTGTTTGAAATAACTGAGAGCAACAACAAAAAGAATCGTCTTTTTGATACAGCGCAAGCAATCGGGATCATTGTCAGTGAACGTGAATTGTATGCGAATTTTTGACTGTTATGTGATCAAGTTCTCTTTAGCGGCCACGAAATAATATTTTGTTGTATTGGTGTTGATGACTTCATTTCGTAGTTAAACAACGCTAATTCACAATCAAAATTAAATACTAAATGTAAGTCGGCGCAAATGATTTTTTCTGTGAATAATTTCAATATTTGTAAAAGAGACGTAAAATCCATTGTTCATAGAATATTTGCTGTGACAGTGGCTTCTCGGTTGTTTACTATTAAACTAATTGGTTTGGCAAATGAAGGAATTTTTTTTTCAAATATTCCCTTCGCCGGTGCGTAACAATGTGAGCAAAAAATGGCTTAAGTTCATGTGAAGCGAAAATGGTTTTTACGTGATCCAAGAAATACAAAGAAGGAACTATGTGTTGAATATATTTTTTGCATCATAAAATAAATTGTAGTGAAGGCGCAAATCGATTCGATATAGGCATCGCTTCAATTAACGCAACGTGGGTACACTAAATGTGATTTGCGAACAAACGAAGCAAATAAAGTATCTCCTTCTAATTCATACATTAATTGCTGCCAATAAAATTGCCAGCGACATAACATTCATATTGAATAACCGGTAGTGTTTGTTGCATTTTTTTCATAGTTCAAGTTATGAAAACCGTTCGATTATTATTATTGAACACCAGACGTAAAAATATTAAAAAAAAATCCGAGTTGTAAATGAAATATCAACATTTTTGAAGAATGTCGATGAATTGTGGCGTAGATGATATTTTGTGGAAAATATTCAATCGATAGGTATACAACATATAATAGATAAAGTCTCTGAGCTGGCCGCAGTAATAGGTGTGGAGGCAATAGAAATAAAGAAATTAAATAAGAATACGTATGAGAATGACGACACACAGATTAGCGACGATGCACTCACACATGATACTATGAGTGATAAATGGCTATCGCAAGCATTCTTACTACTTTGCATTTTTTATTAGGATATTATTATACACACCGATTTGTGCACATAAAATGAGATTCTAAGCGACAGAGAGAGACATTTGATTATTTCATGCATGTCAACTTATTACGACAAATTGTGTTTACTTGTTTGAACCCGAAGCGGAGGCGGTTTCTATTGGATTTGAATGTATACTTAATTTCGACCAAAAATTATGTGAGTTTCATAGAATGAAAACGGCTTAAAATTGTTAATAAGTTGCATGTATCACGAAAACTGTGGGATTGAATCAATTTAAAATTCTCTCACATCTGGAGCACCGCTTTTAAACAAATCCCAATACGTTTACTTCAAAGAAAAGGCAATGTGGTCATATCGCTTTGTGGCATTTCAAATACGATTTTAGGTCATTTTTATTGGACTTAAATTGATCCTTTCGCAAGAATCCAATCGATAATTTTCCATATTGATGAAAAACAGACAATAGACATATCGTGAAATGCCCGATATTTAGCTTGAAAGCACATAAAAATGGGTGCCTGTGTGTTTAATGGAGAAATTGAAACGCAACTAAAGGTGGATAAAAATAGATTAACGAAATTTCCAATTAAATACACTCACTTCAATTTGATTTTTGACGATACTTTTAATATTATAAGGGTATTGCACCACAACAGTCTCACACTCACAAACATATACGAACACACAAACACTCCAGACGTTACTTTATAGAATCATATTGTATTTATTTTATATTAATAGATGGTCAAATGTAGGTTACATAGATTTTAAAGTTATTCGTTGAACCGCATGCATAGTATAAGTACCCTAAGGAAATAATATTTACATTTGTTTACGAATTACAAAAATTTATATATGATCGATTGAAAGTGTGATTGAATTGATAACATTCAATAAAAATGAGTTGTATTTGTATTGACGAAATTCGCTTGTGGTTGCACATGCGAATATTAGAAAAACTAACACCGAATAATTTCGTTTGAACAACACTAATGAATAGTTTACAGAAATCATGTGACGTCATTTGGCTAGAGAATATTAAATGACAATTCATCGGTATGTGTTGCCGGGTTCGTGTTTGGGCTCTTTTGAATTACTGGGCACTAAGTAATTTGAAATTTTTAGGGACCCTTGTTAAGTGTACTCTATCTAATAATTTATCATCAATTTTCGCTTATGAGATCAAAAAGTCGCTTATACTCCATTTTCGAGTGGAGTCTCTCAATCAAAATACCCAATACTCTTCTCTCTTTTTCTATTAAATAAATTAGAGACGAGCGGGCCGTGCACTAAGTACGGTCTCCGCATGTTGCTAAATACAAATATTAGCGCGGAATCAACAAATAGCAATGCCATTTAATTAAAACTCACGTTTAAGCCAAGCCGATTTACTAATTTTGTTCAACAACAATTTCAAAGTGTTTGCTAACGTTCCTTAAAATTCACAAGATTCGAATTGTTCATTTAAAAATAAAAAGTGATTACATCGCCATACGTCAATCAAATGTGTAAAAGTTCACGGTTCTATCATCTCGCACTTTTGTATTTGGAGTGTTGATATTTTTCAAGCAATTGTGTTGAATCATACACAGAAATTTGATAAAAACGCTGGTTTTTTTTTCTGGATTTTTCGTTTTATTGTTATGACATCTGAACTTGCGATTCACAAAAATGTTACATTTGGAAGCATTTTGACTTTATATATAAGGGGAACCTAACCTTGACTATTGTTTAATATTATTTAGCTTGAACTTATAGTGGATTCTATTTTTGCAGATTGAATACAATTGGTGTAAAAATGAATGGTAATGGCATCAAAATGTCTGGAAGGTCGTCAAGTCAACGCTCAATAAACGATTACCCGGAGCATTTGAACCCATTTTACGAGGATGAGAATCACAAACGCTTGAGATTTTGGAAGCTCGGAAGCGATAAACCAAATCGCAGCAATAGTTTCAGCATAGATGGGCTAAAAGGTCTTTGGTAAGCTTTGCGACACTTATATTTTACATAATATAAATAATGCAAGTCAACTTTTCACACAATCAAATTTGGCCTACTTTCGAGCACGCACCAAAAGTAACAAACAAATCGTTAAATGAATCGCTTTCTATTCTATTATTTCCCACTCTATCTATTCTCATATGATAATTGAACTTTGTTTCAACGCAAATATGGACTAGTCTATAATTTGACGAAGCATATTGCTTATTATATTAATAATCACAAATGATTCAATTCGATTCAAGTATGTGAAAATGTTAACAAATTCATTGATAACCCTGTGTATATAGCAGATGTTCTTGAAAACGTTTACAAGTGTATTTTTTTTTTCATTTTCTCAAACTGGAAAGTTGATTTCAGAATGCAATTTGGCGATTCATGAACAAAACTTTTGTTTGTCTTGAATTTAATTTAGTTTAATTTAATTCTCAAAGGTCGTTTAAAACATTCAAATTGAAGAAGAAATCGTCATCATTGGGAATAAATAAAACGTCTGAAAGTCCGCCTATGCTACGGCATGATGATCGATATGGAAGCCAAACAACATATGATGGACGTATGCGACATACCGTCGACATTGGTTTGAGCAACAATTTTGAACGTGGTGCACCCTGTCGAAGTTCTTTGCAGGATTTAAATTCGATCTCCCGTGTAAGAAGAGCATTCAGACAGCATATCTTGGGCATGCTCGCCTATAAATGTCTTATTTTTAGGCATATGCAAGCATACCTGAAATATTCACAACATTCTGAATTCAATTTCAAATGTATACCATTTCATTAATTATCGAACAATTCCTTCACAGAATCAAAGCGAGAATTTTTTCATACGTAATAATCGCTATCGAAGTACCATTCAAGCTGGTAATTCGGGTATATCACAACAAAATCGGGCTCAAAGCAATACAACAATTGGTTCAGCAACGCCCGTGCTTCGATCACGTTACAATCCAACCTTGTCCAGAGGTTCATCGCAGCTAAGTGTAAATAGCACAAATCCATTCGATGACGAATTTGAAACCATCAGTCAAATCGAAAGCCCGCAACGATCTTCAATCCGTCATTCAGCTCGAAAGAAACGTCGTGCTCCACAACCTCCAGTTTCGGTAAGTAATCAAATAATTTGACATAATGATCAATAGTGTGCATTTGTCTTTTTATTACTAACTCTTATTTTTTCATCGGATCGGAAAATTGTGAGTGAAGAATTCGTCTTGGATACAAAATAAATTTCCCGGACTTTTTTCTTAAGTATAAAAATTGAACTATGTTCGTACAATGCACGTGTGCATCTTCAAACGCAATCAAATCTCAAATTGAAAATAGTTGTAGACATTTGTCACAGTGTGTTTGTGTTTCTTATCCGTTTGCATGACAAAAAAAAACTGACTCGTGTCGAACTTTATGGAATTTTTTTAATATTCATTTTGTCGTCTTTTCTCTTTTCTCTTCAATAGCCGAATAAACCTAATATTGCTACTGTAGACGAAACCAAGGTCGAATGCGAAACTGATAACGATCTTAATGAGACTGTGAATATTACAAATTTAACTGCTGAAATTGAATCGTTTGTTCGTACAGCCGACACCGATAAAGAAACGATTAAATCTAAAGAAGCCGAATCAAGTGCTCTGAAAATTGAAGAGACTTATGTGGATATTAAAGAGAATGGAAATGAAAAATTAAAAATTTCACGACAGAGCCCCGAAAGTAATGACTATTATCCGCATGATGATCATTGCGAAGAAATACCTATGGAAAAAATACAGAATTTGGGCACAACCGATGTTAATAGTAATAAACGTTGCAAACAAAGTCCGGTCAAAATATTGATCAGAGCTCCGACTGATGAAGAGACTACATTGGTAATAGATGAAGAACCAACATTGGAAGAAGAACATAAAATAGAGTATAAGCAATCCGAAAATGATAACTATGATACCAAGGATACGGAACAAGAAATTATCATCGTAAAACATGATGTTAGAGAGTTTACACATAATAATCCAAAGGAAGCGTTGCACCAAGAAGAAAAGGTGTTGCATGAATCAAAAACGCCGCATGAAGAAGAAAAAGTGTCACAAGAAGGAGAAAAAGAAATGTCCCATGAAGAACCTGAAATAAATGATGCTGAAAAAATGGAGACAAAAGAACCGAGTGAGTCCATCAAAATAGTTGAAGACACCGAAGGAACTACCACACCGACCAGTTCTGCTGTCGAATTCATTCTTGAGAATGAAAATATGACTGATTCATCTGAAGTCACCGTACTCAAAATCACCGAATCAAACGAAGATTTGAGTAAATTGGAACCTGCTCAAAACGACACAGAAAATCAAACAATCATTAAAGATCCCGTTGTGACTGAATCGAATAGATCGACATTTAGGTTTGAAGTTCGATCGGTTCCATTGAAATTCGATTCACCAAAAACCAGAAAAAAAGACATTGGAACCGATGGTGGTAAGAAAAGAGAACCACCAACACCACCACAAAGACGACGATCGGTGAAAGAAATTATTGAATCGATAAATAAATGCCAAAGCCTTTTAAAAGTAAATCACGATCTAAAAACGGACAAAAGTGAAAAAGACAAAATAAACACTGATTTATGCCAAGCATCGTCGTCGTCCTCGATGAAAACATTTAAGAGCAAAAGTTCATTTTCCGATCGCAATATGAACGATTCGATTGAGAAACAATATGAAAATAAGAAAATGTTTAGTGATATCACCGAAGTGAATAATAATGCCAAAACCGACGATATGAGCAATATTCCATTGTTTGTTGAGAAATTCAACGAGTTTAATAATAATAATCCGAATTCGATATTCGAAAAATGCAAGGTACGGGACAAAACATCAAACGATGAAAAAGTATCGAATGTTGAATGGAATCCGGTGCCAAAGCCTCGTCGTCATCGAAACTCCACACAGGGATCGATTAATTAGGAAAGAAATCATCGAAACCAATGTGCAGAAGTTAGGTTTTGGTATGTCTTGGAAATTGTTTGTATATATACTGTACACTCGGTATTTAATATGCAAGCGTACGCTCAAGATATCTGGCACCGAATTTCCATAAATAAGCCAGATGTTTACTATATTTTAGCCTAAAATAGATTAATTTAAATGTCGTGATGTATGATCATATGAATTTTAATAGAGTAAAGATAACAAACATGCAGGACGAATCCATTGTTATGCCGTTGAACATTTCTGATGAGAAGCTTGTAGTTATATATTTATTTGTATATGCATTGAATAAAATATCATATCGATTGCACATTGCCGATATTTCATTTCAAGAAAAAAAACTGCCACAGGTACTCTGTATGTTATTGCTTTATTTATAACAGACATTATAATAAGATATTTTCAGTCAGATGAATCAGCTCAGCCACATATCGTAAGGAGCTGAAATTGTGTGAAAACAATAGAAGTGATTGTTACGGTTATAATTACACTTACATTCCTATAATCACTATAACAATCACTTTTATTGTTTTCACTCCATTTCAGCTCCTGACGATATCTGGCTGAGCTGATTCATCTGGCTGAAAATATCTCTTTATAATGTTTGATTTATAACAAAAAAAATATTTCATTTGAAAAAGATTATACACCGATTGATGTGTAAAAATTGTGCAAATGCTTGATTTGCAAAGTTAACATCGAATTTTAGGAGTTGCTAGGTTTGTATTTTTGTTGTTCAGCTTCAACATATTTTCGAAATCGTGACAAATTTGTGCGAACCGTACAAACGGCTGGATATCGTTCGGCAAGCTCCCGTTTCTGTTGTCGTAATTTATTTTTCAAGATATTTTCCAATGCTTTGGTTTTTTGTGCTAAATTCACTTCGTATGAAATTTGATTCCAATCATTGTCTGCAAATAGGTCCATCAATGCATCAAGTGCTTCCGACAGTGTCCAAACGTCAGTTTCCTTGAAGCACTGTTGCAATAAACATTCGATAATAATTTTGACAGAATTCTCTGGCAGCAAACATCCTAATACACCTAACATGCGCAACCAGTTGGCACGAATTTCTGGTTCCATAACACCTTCTGCACCTTTTAACATCATTTCTAAATCATTCTCTGTCATTTGTTTGAACAAATCGGCACTAGTGCGCAAGTGTTCGAGTGTGGCACGCATTAAAGCAGTGGATGCTTCGACCAATGCGACATCTTGACTATTTTGAAATACTTGTTGCCCCAAATCAATCCAAACTCCGTACACAGCTGATGGACCGCCTAAATCTTCTGTAGTCATTACATTGCATAGATTTTGTAGGCACAATAAAGATGATGTTCGTAATGTTCGAACTCTGTATGAAAAAAAAATTCATTAAAAATTAATATTTGGAATCATTACAAAGGGAAATATTTGGCATCACAAAAATATACTTTTTGAATAGCTCCTTTTCGGATTCTTTGAGTAAATTGTTAACATTTTCGGCAATGGGTTGTGCCCGTTGCCATAATTTCTCAACCAATCCGAGTGATTTGATTGGTTCCAATATTTCAATAGGCAGCTTATCAGCTTGAAGACCTCCGCTAGAATTGGACGAATCTTTATCATAGTCATGAACACTTTCTGCATCCGATAAATCATCATCGTCATTACCATCTAAAAAAAAAACGATTCATTTTTGTTTATGAACTTTTTTCGCTGAATAATTAATTTGAAAAAATTATACCATTATCGTCAGCAGAGCAAAGATTTGTAATTGTTTCTGCGGCAATTCGTTGTGCTTCGAGCACCCATCCCATGTGTTTGACTTCAGTGTCGTGTTCAGTTGGTAAATCTTGTTTACGGCGTCTTCTAGCTGCATCTTCGTCGGTTTCTTCATCCATTTGTTCTTCGGCTACTAATTCAATGCCAGCTGGATTTTCATCTCTTTCATCCAACGGCATCGAACTTGTGAAATTTGCCAAAAGCGTTCTATGATTTATATCTAACGCTTGATTTAATGTATCGAAAATTTGATTCGTGTATGTTGTCGATAGACTTGGTACATTGGCTAGAATGCTCGCAGCCACCGTACGTAAGACGATATTCTGTTCAGTTCGTTCAACATTTGTAATCAATGCACTAATGTCTTGTGCAAAATTATTCAGAACACGCCATGCAACCGGATTGTCTTCAGAAATCACCAGCAAACATTGAGCAACTGCAACGGCTAAGATGGCGAGAAAGAAAGAAAAAGAAGATAAGAATATGAGATCGGGTGTGTTGATTGCTGAAAGTGAAAGAAAATAATATAAACTTACAGATATCAATGCCAAATACTGTGTAATTGAGAAATCGAACGAAACTTTCCAAAATATTGGTTTGATTGAAATGTTGCAGTGCGACAGATGTACTTTCGCACAGATTCCACACCAAATTAACGGCCTGCAAAAATGTATCGCCAGCCACATCCAATTGATCAACATGTGCAACTGATTTATCAATAATTGGCACCCAATCCGCATTGCCTGTGTACTCAATAATGAGTGTTAATAATGGTGTTAGAATGTCTTGTTCGACCAAACTTTCGCACACCTCAATGCCACACAAAGACACATTACGTAAAGCACCGGCAACCGCATTTCGAATATTTTTATTTGGATCAACTAAAAGTGGTATGGCTATTCTAATGATATCTCCGTCACACATTGCCTCTGCTTTTTTCTGATTTAATGACAAAAACGCCATTGCCTGTATGCCGCACATTTTTTCATCTGTGCTGCCCGACTGCAATTGGTCACGAATTGCGGCCAAAGCACCTTCTGGGTTGCCATCGCCATTTAATTCGTCGTTCAAATTGATTTCACGTAAACTGGGTATTCCGACCGGATTTGTTTTTGGTGGACGAAATCTTGGTTTTCGTGTTTTTCCCATTTTAGTTTTGTATTTCAATCAACTAAATTTTATTTCAATCAACGTATTGGTGGCAAATCGCGAGAAAAACTACCGTAAATAACTGCAATTTCCACTTAAATAATGAAAATTAAACGATTTCAATTAAATACACACAGCATGGTTAGATTTTACGTCCACGTTGTTTTGACTGTTAAGGCGATTATCAATGAAGTGACAGATACACTTACGTTCACTTTTATTCAGGCAGATGGCGCTCACTTACTCGTGTTGAAATCTGAATTGTGGTGAATTTCGAAAAACGAAATCCGTTTTTTTCGTTAAATAGTGAAATATTCATTAAAACAACGTACTTCAGATCAATTTATATTTAATATGTTTCCAGTGCAGTCTCGATGTTAATTTTGATGTAAATTTCTTGTTTTTTCTTCAATTTTATTAAAAGAAACTGATTTTCGTTCAATTTCGTTCTTTGATGACTTTCAATGAAAAAAATGAAAAGACTGAAAACGATCATAATTTCGAAACAAAAAAATGTATATATTTTGTAAGCAATATTTTTATTCAAAATATCAACATCACAGATCCTAAATAAAATAAAATATTTGTTTCTTTTATTTTCACAAATGTCAATAGATGTAAATCTAAAATGTATGTCATATTTTTAGAAATTTTATTTTTGCTTCTGCCGACCTTTCGGTTTGAACAGAGCATAATTTTTCATTCGAATTCCAATTGCATCAAATATAAAAATCAGACAATTGAAATTCTTGAGAATTTTATTTTCTACACTGTGAAAATTTTCTATAATTCATAATTCAACCCGGAATTCACCAAAAAAAAAAAGATATTGTGCGTTTCGTGCAACCAGAAACCAACACCAAAACTAAAATTTTGAATTCTTTCATAAAAGAAAATTTTTTGATTCTATTGTCTGATTTCCTTACAGAAATTGAAAAACTAGTAACTTAAACCAGTTACATTATTTTGAAGCATTACACATTCTTTGCTTCCTTTCAGATCTATTTTGCTGTTTTTCTGACACAGTTTTTTTTGTCTAGTAAATATAATTTCAAAAATACATTTTAGGCACAATTCACTGAGTGTATTTCACTCTATTACCTCGAATTCCGTTCTATCTAAACTAAAATCTATAAAAGAAGCCATGTATGATATAGCTGCGTTTTTAAAAATCCCGATTTCATGCGGCTTTGAAAGTTCCAAGTCGAAACATTTTACAATTGACATGTCGAAATCGGTTCGCATAATAATATTGTCCGCTTATTGCATTTGGTTTTTGTGTTTAAATTGTAGACACTGGTTTTTGAATGAATTACAAATTTCAAGCGCTCACAACATTGGAATAAATTTGAATTCAAATCAAACGAATATCTGCGCATTTGTTTCTTTTTTGTTCAACATCAAAACAATCTACATTTAACGGTATTAGTCTAAACTCTAAAATTCTGTCTCTATTCATCTATGTTGTTGTGTATTTCTTTTTTTTTTTTCATTTAATTTGTATGTGCTTTTTTTAGTTTGTTATGTAAATATGTGTTAAATAGGTGTGCATCTTCTGAAACTGAGGCGAACCAATAAGATACGGTATCACATTTAATGATGTCCATATTCACGCAATTCTCGATTGCCCAATGGCAATGGTGGCCGATAGTTGTTAACAACTTTGCCCATTTCATCACATGGACACTCATCGTTCACATCATAGCACCGTAAGTTACGCATCAATTCAATTTGCTTGTGAGATATTTCAACTGGTTCCTTCATTACCATCCAAATCACCGACTCAGAAAATGGTGGAGCTGCAGCAAAAAATAAATAAATAAATATCAATTAATTTTTTGATTCCACACAATCCAATTCGGGTAATACGAACTTGTCAACGACCCCAAGTATGTCCAGAATGCCTTACTTTCTGGCAATAATTTTCCAGGATCGCACGGCTCGGGAGAGTCGCTCAAAGTAACCTGTTGAAAAAAACATAAACAAAATTTATTCCCTTTCTTTGAGGATTTTTTTAAATATTTTATCTCGTTTAAACTTACGCGATCGCCTTTATGCATAATGAATGGTAGAAGCTTGGTGATTTTGTGCAATTCTTCGTGATGACGTCCAATCTGTTGTTGGAAAAGAAAATATAATATATTTCTTTATGTTTTATTCTCTCGCTAAATTCAATGAATAACGATGGAAAAAAAGTTGAAAATACCTTCAAGAAAACACCCAAAACAGCCAAACCATCGTGATGCTTAGCAGCTTCATCAAATGTTGCATATTTTGTTGTGTTCCAATGAACCAAATGCAATTCACCCGAATAAGAGACACCATCAACGGTGTGTTCAGAACCTTTACCATCGCTGCATCCCCAATGACAATGGTATTGTTCCAATTGAAAAACGTCCGTAAACAATGGGCCTCCGCTTAATGCAGAACCTTCACCATTTACATCAACACGCCAACTATACCCCGGATTTATCAAACTTTTTGTATTTGCGGGAACATATTTCCAAGTCAATGGATGTTTCAACGTACTACCGCGAGTTGTTACATCACGATGAATATTGACCGGAGATTGTCTGTGACCAGATGCCATTGGGAAAAGTTCGGGCCATTTTTCGGGTCCTGAAATTAAAAAAAAAATTAATTGATATTAATGAAAATTATTGTCGGAGATAAATAAAGTAAAATCAAGGACGTCTGCTTCAAACTTGACAATTTTAATTGAAAATGACAGATGACAATTTATCGATATTTTATAGTCTTTGATTTTTCAATTTTTAAATAATGAATAAAAATAAATAAATATGCAGACAATTTTAAATTAATTGAAACTGCCTGCTGACAATTTGCGATTGACGTTAGTTCTATAACCATTCGTTTAACAAAACTACTTTATTGGAATATCAAAACTATAATTGATATTTCTACAGAATACTTGGTGTCAAACTGTGTTTGAAATCAAAAATTCCCATTAAAATGAGCGCGTGTATACAGTTATGACTATTTATAAGGCTATACATAATTCTTTTCAAAATGAACTGAAACAGCAATCAAACATTTCACTTTCTGCATATTATATAGGGTTCATTCAGAGTCAATACGGACATTGACCGAAAAAAACATACAAGTTCTTGAAAATGCTCCATAAATATTTTAAGAAAATTGTGGTTGCAACGAAATTAGCATTATTGATTAAAGCCGCCAACCCAAGTGGTGAATGCAATGTACGGCATTCAATTTCGATAGAAAAAAATCTACGTAATATGTAGACAGTTTACAGGTCACCTGCACGTTCACGTTTCAGTGTGTACTTTTATGGATTTCTCGACGGAATCATTGGCCCAACTAAAAACGTTCGCTGTTTTTCATTGTTCATTTGTTGGATAATGTAACACTATTTTGTGTTGGAGATTTTTCAAATCAATTTTACAGTTTTTCAGCGTGGAAAATACACTTTCAAGGCAGAAACAAACTTTGATGCTACCAAAACACGCACATACATTTTACAAATAACTCCTATCACGAACCATATGAGTGATATTCGAAACAAAAATCCATTCAAAATTGTCTTTAAAAGTACTTGGAAAATTGGAACAATATGAATAAAACAAGAAAACGACCGAAATTGTGCGTCAAGAGAAAAAAAAAAAACAAATTTTTTTGATTCACCAAAGACAGGACTTTTTGGTTGAATTACAGTAACTCACATTATTTGTAATATATAGAATATTATTACATTTCAACTAATTTATGCACAAATAAACAATAAAATTTGCAAAAAAGCGCCAACGCTCCCATTTTAATTGGTTGAGTGACTCGAGCAGTAGTAAATAAACCGATGAATGATTTTACCCACTTCAAACCATATGATTGACATAACATCTAAATATATTATTTAATCCATTGTCGGTGTATATTTAAAACATTTAATAATATAGAATTATCGGTAAGATAAGCATCAAGATAAAATGAAATTCAAACCGGTAGTATAGTCACGTTCCTACAATTATAGTGTTATAACAATAACAATGAATGTTACGTTATACATGAACTTGCATTAATGCCCAAATGAATTATGGGAATTTTGTTTTTGCGTCAAACTTTAGATGTTGTTCCGACAATATCCACACACTACTTATTTCCCGGCAAATTCAATTGAAATGTGAACCATTGAAAATGTTATACTCGTATTACTGTGTACTTTTTAACAATTTTCCAATTGATTTTTTCGATGGAAAATTTGACACATTTCACGCTACTTTCGACGCGAGACTTTTCGAGTGAATTATAAACAGGCAAAAAAGTCATCGTTTATCAACAATATATTGTAGATTATAACGAAAAAAAAGAAGTGATAAAAATAGCTTAGACCACGTAATTTAAATTGTTTCTATCGTTGATAACGCATTTGAGCGACGTAATCAAACTTCATTTGTAGTCAGTGTCAAGATCAAAATCGGTCGGCACATGCAAATTGAAATATTATTTATATAATAATTTTGATATATCTATAATACTAAAGCATTCGGTGAGTATAATGCATGGGAATATTGATTATTCCAGATATCAGTACTTTCGTTTTGTTATCAATTTGAAAATTTAGTCAGAATTAGATTCATATGTGTGTCACATTTAATGTATGGCGTGAGCGAGTGCGTAGCTCATTCGTGATTACAATCTCTCATTCGATCGAAGTGCTGTTTTTCGGTATTTATGAAAAAAAAGCATGAAAATATCACGCCAAATGGCGATAGCACGTGACTTTGTAAATTTCAATTGAAAGATTGCTCATAAATATTGTGTATCTGCGGGCAAAACAAACGAATGACAAATTAAGACACTTGAAATTTCAAATCACCTCTCGCGGAAAATTGATTAATGCATTCAATTTATCAAAGTGCAGCAATAAATATGTTTTAATTTAGCTTAAGTAAATATATGCTTTATTACGAGAAATTGTAATAAAATGTACTATTTGTCCGTGTAGGTAGTATTTACGGAATATGAAATGCAAATTTTGTTTAGAAAAAAACATGCAACTTATGTTAAATTTTTAATGATCCTATTCGTGTAAATCATACGGATTGGATGGATTTATCTTCATATACATTCTATTTTCAAAGGAAGGAAATTGTATAATAAATGCATTTGACATGAAATATACTTGTAATTATTCTATATAAATATAGAAAGTACTAGATAATAATTGCCTTTGATGGTGGCCATTTTTGTCGAAGAGAATACTGAATATTTTTTTATGATTTAATCGATTTAATGGCAATATTTATCTCAAGCAAACATGCTCAATGCTCAGTTGACAATGCTAATTCCATTTAAAGGGTCATTTTTTATTCATTCTTTATCTGTGTACACTCTTTTTGAATGATTATTCTGTTCGTCGCCCCATTCAAAACACTGTTTATCGTTTAAATATTGGATTTGAGTAAAACAACCATAAATCTATTTTATTTTCGTCATTTCATATTCATCGCAAAATGATGAATATGTGTTATGAAATATCTTGTGACAATATTTGCAAATGCAAATAATTTCAGTTCCAGCTAAAACAATAAGCTGCAACAAGGAAGTAATTGTTCCGTAAAACAATGAAGTTCGTAAAAGCCTTTTTTTCATCTTAATATCTACTTCAAACTAGATTATATTAAAGTATGATCTTATCTCAGTCACGTTGCTGTCAATAAATAACGAAAATAAAAATCATATTTGTTTGAATATCGAGACGAAAGTGAAAAGCACTAATCAAAGTCAATATTCACGTCACGTGCCTGAATTTAACAAACAGGTTCATTTGTTTACTTTGTCTTTGATAAATCAGAGAGAATATGGAAACGGTTTTGACCCACCCTTGATTCTGAGCATTGTGTAGTGAGCAAAACGTAGCATGAGCTCATTAAAAACTTGAATTTAAATCGCGTCATAGCCTTTTTTGCCAACATGTTTCCAGTTATTTTGTTTGATTTCCATCTACGGAAGAACATTTCACAACATTCACAAAATTTAGTTGCTATCGATCAATGCTCTCCATTAATTTATTCAAATATTCATTCGAAATGCGATGCTTTCGGCCACATAAATAAATAAATAATAAAATTGGTGTGACCAGTAGGATTTGGTAGAATCAGACATTAGGCGCTATTTAATTCGTGTGCTGTGTGTAACACCAAGTAGGAATATCATAGCCTACTATTCTTTTGTACATTTGAATGTGAGTACGAGAGAGATGTAGAAAATAACGCAAAATATGCATAAATGCATTAAAACGAGATCAATATCGCCTATGAATAGCGGCTATGAAATAGCAGCCGCTATATCCATAGCTCAAACATAATGTCTGGGTAGAGTAAACAATGAATTGAATCACATTTTTCGTTAGAATCTCAGTGAGACGCTAAAACAGAATGTGTTAATTTTTTCTGCGAAATCACTATTTAGCACATTAAATTTCTAAATGGCAGTATTGCCGTTAAACGACATAGTGTTGCTTTTTTTATATTTTATTTAAATTATTGATTAAATAATTAAATGAAGGTTGTAGATCGTTTTGTATACAGAACGAAAGGGGAAACAAATGTGTATCTCATGTTTTTACGTAATATTTTTACAAGATATGCATCTATCCTATTAAACAAAAGAAAAAAAGTTCGAGAATACATATGACGATTCCAATTGTTCAACCAGAACGTTTTTAATAGAAACGAAACAATGATAAATAGAAAACTTTAATAATACTCAACTCACAGAGCCACAATACTCACATCTATTGCATGAGAGAATCAATTGCAAATGTGCGCATTTCAGAATACTGTACGGTTGCTGCCTTAGCTTGGAAAGAAAAAAAATTGTTTTAATGGAACGACAGCAATTTAACAGTCTTAATTGCGACTCACAGAAGTATCGTAAAGGTTAACAAATCGTTCATTAAATCGCGTACATAATTTGGAATTTTCAACATATGTATAAGAGGATAGTATGGTCATATTTTTGACTAGGCCTTAAAACAGTCAGTGATATGAATGTATCTTGTATGTGCGGCGAGTTGTGAGCTGTCAACTCTCATATTTTATTTATAAACATGAGCATGACGCTTAGTTCTGTCAAGAATTAATTTGAATAAGAAATGAAAATGGGTGTAGCACGTGATTCCCAATAGTGATATCAATATGGTTTTAATGCTATTCCGCAATTCACTTGATATCACACAATCGAGCAATAAACGTGAATCAGCCACTCAAACGGAAATTTTTTGTGTTAAATTGTGCAGTAAATGTATATATGAGCTACTTATTATTGACATGACATCCACATTCAATTTACACAGTGTATTTAAAATTGAAAACAATTTCGAACAGTCAACAAATGTGGGTAATGCCTTTTTTAAACGAGTGAACCGACTAAAACACTGCGTGAACAATTATTATGAGCAAATTTGTGTACTATACAGTACTATATAAACATATGGAAAGAACAACCGTTTGTAGCAATAAGATACTTTGACGAATTCTATTTTTAATTGATTTGTGAAATTTTAAGAATTTCGTTGACTTAAATAAGCACGAGACACACATGTGCACCAGCAGGGAACTGCTTTTAAAGCGTTTAAA